TAATTAAATTTCTTATTGTATCTTAAAGTTTCTACTATGATATTATATAAATAAAAAAAAAAAAAAAAAAAAAAAATTTAAAATAGTAAAAGTTACCATTACATATTTGACATTATTTCCAACATTTCGGCCATCACCAGATATACGAATATGAAGTATTGATTCTGAATAATTAATTTTACCTTTCTCAATTAAAGAAGATATAATAAAATTTAGAACATCTTTAATAGAGCATGTTACTCCTTTTCCTAATGAATTTTCAACCTCTTCTATAATTTCTAAATTTATAATATGTACATCAAGCTTACTATCTAGTTGGTCTTCAGGTAATAAATCCAAATTCAAATCAATTAAAGAAATCGGAATACTTTTATTCATAAGATTATTTATTTGATATAGTCTTTTATAAATAGTTTTTTCATGTGGTAAGTCTTGACATATAGCTGCTAAAGCTCGATATGAAGCTCTTGATATTCTATTATAATCAATAGCCCGAACTATAGCTGTTTGACAGCTTACTTCATCATTTTTTTTAGATTGGTATACAATTCGAAAGCATGAATTATTTACTGTAAACCTTAGTTTATTGATAGTAACATTATCATTTAATGTAAATTGTTGCTTTATTTGATCTTCGAAATTGAACTTAAGGCTTGTACCAAAGTTTTTATTTCTAATAACTTGCATTCGATTTGTTATCTCAGAAAATGGCCTAATGCCTCTTGGTCTTTTTCAACTATAGCGTACCAATTTAATTTGTGATAGCTGCAATCCAAATAAGTATATTCCATTTATTTTACTATTTGGTATTGGTCGCATAAACTAATAAAATAAAAATTTAATAAAATTCAAATAAATAAATAAATTAAATTATTTATATTGAAATACAAATTACATCTAAGCCTCTAATTTGTTTTTCCTTATTTATAATTGCTTCATTATAGGCTTTTAAATAGACATTTGCTACAGCTAAAGGTAAAGAATCTGAATATATATGCTCTTCTCCAAATACTCCAAATTCTATCTTATATCGAGGTTTCTCATTAATATAACTAATAGATCATTTGACAGTTTTTTCATCTTTTCCGTAAGTTGTTTCTATGACATAATTATTAGGAATCAGATAACTGTTTGGTTTTTTAGTATAAGCAAAATATGGTTCATGTGGGTAAGTGCCTTTTTTTATGATATAATATTGAAAACTTCTTCATGATGATTTTCACTTAATAGTACGATCTACAGGATAATTAGAGTCTTCTTCACCTATTTCCTTTATTTTATTTACGTGTGTAATTGTAATAATTTAAAAATTTTTTTAAATTTTTTATTTAAAAACTATATTTTTATGACGTAGCAAATTCTATAATATATACTGTACATCACAAATATGTAATGGATCACACTGATAAGTCAAATAAATTGACTCACTATCGGTAGTCAAAATTTTCAAAATTTGGAATATTTTATAAATTCGCCACAATGAAGATAAGGTCTTGTTTATATCTTTATTAGTAATTTAAAATAGTTACATATATATATACTATGGCTAAGACCAACACTTGCAATTAGAATTAATTGTTAAACTGCTAACTATATAGCTACTACTATTTGTACAAAACAAATAAATTGAAAATTATATGCAAGAATAAAAACTTAGACTAATTTATCTGTGATCTAAATCTACTAAAGTGGTCAAAAGCTTATTTAGATTTGAATATTTAGTATATAATTTGATGATATATATTTTTAATTTATAAGATAGACTAAATATTAATTTTACAAATTACTTGTCTAATAGAAGGGCATATATTAGAATAAATATATAATTAATTAGGAAGCTTATATAAATATAAATAGATATAGTTTCTTCAAGAGTATTTACACCTAGAAGCTAAATTAAAAAGTATTTTGGATTTGTTAATAGGTTGAAATTGAAATCTATTTTGTTGCTTTTTTTAGTTAGAAAAATGAATATAATATGTTTTTCATAATTGTTTATATAATTGTTTATTAATATTAAAAGAAATATTGATAATAACTTGTGAGGCAATTTTATATAAGATGTCAGAGTTTTGAATTATTGATATGAGTAACTTTGAAATAAACCTTTTAAGAATGAGATTGAAATAGAATATATTAGATAATATATATAAAAAATTAAGAGTTAGATGATATAGAATTTTATTAATTAAATCATATTTTTAATAGTTGTTAAGTTCAGGTAAGTTGTTAGAAATAATTTAATTAGTAGAGGTTTGAATAATTTGATTAAGCAAGAATGAGTTAGCACAAGTGCACTAGTGGAAATGAGAGTTAGATAAGTTATAATAAAAATATATAGTATTTGAGTATTGAGTTGGATAGATAGTATAAAATAATGAATAAGTTGGTAGCTTATTAAGGAAAATTTTAATTTTAAAGAATTTTAATTAGTTAAGTTTAAAATTGGTAATGTTGTATAAAGGTTTTTGATTATGATTGAAATAAAGCCAGGTAAATCTTCAATCAATATCTTGATTAAAGTATAACTATTCACTATTGCATTTTTGAAATACCTATATAGCTAGAATGTAAGCTTTACAGATTTGCTTAATAAAATGTCTTGTAGAAAGTTTTATATAATGTTGTTTTCATTAAAGAATATAATAAAGATTATAGAGATTTATATAGTTAAATAAAAGAAGTAATGATAATAGATGCTATTTGGCTAAAAAATCTGCTTACTTATTAAGATGATTGTCTAAAAAAGTCTGTACTTTGTAAAGGATAATTTGTAGTTTGTATAATTTAATAATGTTTAAAAGAGTGTACCAAATAGGTTATGAGTTGAATTTAAAAATCTTGTTAGAGTAAATTAGATTAAGTTGAAGGTTATTAAATTTATAAATTACTAGATAATATTAATAAGATATAAATTATTAATACTAGCAATTTATTAATAACTAAATATTATATTATTTCAAAATAAATTTTATTTATAAATTTATTTGTATAATATTTATTATAAAATTATGTATAAATATTATTTTTAAGTAATATTAATTACAAATAAAATAAAATTTTATATTTTTTTTTTTTTTTTTTTTTAATATATAAGCAGTTATGCTAGTACTTTATTAAGATTTTGAAATTACATTTGCAATTACATAAATATTCCTAATACCTAAGTCTAGCATCACCCGGCCATCTTAATAGTACCTAAGTACAACCTGCCACATTACTTCAAACAGAAGTAAGCTGCTCGTCTGACTACTTAAAGTCCATAATGAAAGGGTCTTCTCTCTTTCATGACAAGCCTCAATATTGTCTTTGTTACTTCTTTTTCAACTTGCTTTTCTTTTTCTTTTAGTCTTTCTTTCTTTTCTTCTATTCTTTGCTGATTTGCCTTTTCTTTTTTACAAAGTTCCTTTAGCTTTCCTTCTTTTTCCTTTTAGCTTTACCTGTTATCCCAACTTTTTTCTCCTATTCATTAATTTTTTTCATATCATATTCTCCATACTTGTTTATAAAATATATCCCAGGCCATTATTGCTACTACATTTACAAACTGCTGTCTTGCTTTTGTATTTAAGAGCTGTATTAATCTGTTTTGTGTTTCTTTTGAAATTAGGCCTCTAATTAATGCTTCTCTCATTTTAACCTTCTCTTTCTTTGTTTTACCAAAGAGTGCTGTATATAACACATATGGAAGAATTCTAATTTTTTTTTCTTCTTTTAATTTCTTCCATGCTGTTGCGATGATCACCTTTTGGATTCTCTTTCAGAGACTTCTTTGTCCTTTACATGCTGCCAGATATGCTTGTATTTCTTTTACTTTATCTTGGCATACTTGACATTCCACTGTTGTATATATATCTGGCCTTCTTCTGTTAAGTTCTTTCAAAGTTGAAAGTTTATCTATTATACACTTGATAAATGCACTTTTTCTTGAGCTGCTTCTTCTTGTCATGCAGTGTACTCCTTTAGTTATTCTTAGCTTTTTTCAAAAGTATGTCCAATCATATATGGTAATTTCTGCTTCTGGTTCTAACTTTTTAATTGCTTTTGTTTCTTTCCATTCTGCTCCTATTCTTGCATTCGTTACTAACTTGCAGAGCAGTCTTGCTAGTATGTCAGTTCATCTGTTTTTCCACTCTAAGCAGTACTCTATCTCTTTACAACTGACTTTTTCAACCTATATTATTCTCTTGCTCATCATTCTCTTCTTTGCTAAGTTATCAGTTTTATCATTCCACTTATCTTTGCTATGACTTTTCACTTTAACTAACTCTATCTGAATGTTTTTGTCCTGATAAGGTCTTTAATTTTCATTATCCATATTGTATTCTTCTTTTTAATAATCTTGTTTTTGTCTGCTTGCTCTAAACTTCTACTAATGTTTCTTATAGTAGCATTACTATCTGTATATAACTCTATTTGTTTCTTTTTTGGTATTGTTAGAATTGCTGTCCAAATCGCCACCAATTCTGCTATTGTCGATGTTTGCCATCCTTCTAGTTCAAATGCCATCTCTTCTTCTGACCATTCTTGCATTTCATCTGTTTGAACCCATCCTATACCCATACTAGTTTTAGGTGCTAATTCCTCACTGGCTTTTATATTCACTGCCTCATCTGTATATATTATATACTTGTTCTTGTTTCTTATAATATTTCTTCTTAAAGCTTTTATTATTTCTTGGCTAATATTTTCTTCAAGTTTCTGTCGTTCAATAATCTCTATCTCTAGCTCTTCCATTATTCTAAGACTTTCAAGTTTCTGCTTCTCAATCTTTAACTTGTCTGTTTCTGCCTTGTTTGTTATTTGGTCTATTGCTATCTTGATTTGGTTGTTACCTTTCTTTATTAATGTATCTGGAATCACATTAATGTTTCTGTTTACTCTTATCCATTGTTGGCAATTGTTCTCTATCTGTTCTTCTTTTCTTGTACACCCTTTATATCTATTAATCTCAGTTGCTAAATCCTCTTCTTTGCTCTGTATTTGCCAGTATTCGATTAAAACTTTTTTCTTTTTCTTTCTAACCACCTTTCCTAACTGTCTGTGGTTTGGTATGCCATATAATATCCATTCTTTTCTTCTTCTATCTTCTGACATATGTCCCTATTTGACTTGCATTGTCTAAGTGTTTTGTCCACTCATTTAAAGTGCTTTTGTACTTCTCTACTTGCTGGACTGCTAAGCACCTTTGCTTCGATTGCCTTAAACCATTCTGCTTTTTTTTCTTTACTTAATTGGCCTTGAAAGCTTTTAAGTTGTTGCCATGTGATCAGCTTTTCTCCTCTTATATCAAGCAGCTGGTTTAGGTAT